CAGTGGCAGGTGAAGCAAAGATTTCTTTGTAGTTAAGTTTGGTGAAAAGAACTGTAGTAAATTGTAAGATAATTGTGCAGGTTTTGTTTCAAGATAGTCAAAAGGAATAGTTGCATCTGGACTAATGTTTGGATTATATTCATGAATTAGATCTATTAAAAACTTAGCATGCAAACCAGCCATTGAACAAAGAAAATGTTTAAAAGAAGCTTTATAAGTTGGTTGGTTTTCTTTTCTGGTTTAATTTCTCTTCTAGGAAAGAAGTTGTAAAGATGATTTTTAAGAAATTCAAAGAGATAGTGAGAAAATTTGGTTTGAAGTTTTTTGTTTGGTTCTATTTCTTGGGTAATTGGAAAGTTAAGTAGTCAATCATATGATGGATTTGGTTTAGCTTTAGATTTAGATTCAATTGGTTGTTTTGAGTTAGGTTCAGAGATATTAGATGAATTTTGTGTATATTTAATAGCTTCTTTGTTTTTAGATATAGTTGGAGGTAAATTAGTACTTTTAGAAGAGTTAGTTTGAGTTAAATTTGATGATTGAGTAGAGTTAGTATTAGCAAAAAATTGATTAACAGGAGAAGGTTTTGGAGGAGAAAGTGGATGATCGACTTCCATATCAGTGTTAGATTGTGGTTCTTGGGTTGAAGTAAGTGGAAAAAGATTGTTAAGAGGGTTTGGTTTGTTATTTTTAACTTGTGATTGAGGTTTTTGAGTCTGATTAGATTTTTGAAAATTATCTACCAAGCTAGATATAGAAGGTGGTTTGGCTTGTGATTTAAATAAGGAAGTGGTTTTAGTTTTTAAATAAGTTACTGGTTTATTTTATTGTTGTTGTTGTTGTTGTTGTTATTGTTATTGTTGTTGTTGATGTTGTTGTGGATGTTTAGATTTGGATTGATGTAGTTGTTGTTGTGAGTTTTGAGATGTAATAGTAGAAGTTGTAGTAGTTTGGGTAGTAGTTTGATTAGTATTTTGTTCAATGGATGTAGATCTTGATAATTGTTCCATATGTTGTCTTATAACTTCATCAGATAGTGCAGAGATAAAAAAGACTGAGGAAGAGGTAGAAGCAGCACAGGTAGAGTGGTAGTAGTTTTTGCCTTGTCTAATTGTACTACTTTGAGGTGAGTGCTGATCATTAATTGATTTGCAGTTAATTAGTTGATTACATGTTGGGCATGTATGAGTATGCGGATATGGAGAAGGAGTAGTTGGTATTTCATTAGGAGGTTTTTGTTGAGGGATTGGAGATTTTGAAATAGTTTAAGTTGTATTATTGAGTTGTTGGATAAGTTTTTTGGTTTGGTGACTTGATGTAGTAGAGTCTATATTGTGTTTAAAATCATAGATTTGGTTATCCTGAGCTATAAATTTGGTATGATATCTTTTACAAATACAGGTAATTATAGCAGTTGAGAGTAGAGCAAGAAAAAAATGTATAACTTTTAGAGCAGTACAAAGCTCTTTGTGGAAACAAGCTGTTGGTTGAAAATTTTTTAGAATTGGTAAAACATTTTCTGGATTATCTTCATAGATTGCTACACTATAAGTTGCTTGATGTTTTTGATAAAAATGATCAAGATCTAATGTGTCTGGTTCTTAGCTTGTTAAAGTAGGCATGGTAAAGCAAATTTATTGATAAATTAAAGAAGGGGTTATATCTAGCTTCACAATGGTATAATTTTTGTTTTATGTAATGTTACGCTATAGAAACTTCTAGATACTGCAGCTTGTATAACTGCGGCTTGTATTACCATGGCTGGTGTGACTGGTGTGGCACAATTTGTATCACGTAACTGTAATTTAATAGGTGCAAACTATAAAGCTTGTATTAGTTAAATATTTACTTTTTTGTAAATATTAAATTTTAATTAAAAATTAAAATAAAATTGGTGTAATAAGTAGAGAACCACTAATTTTGAGAGGTCTAAAAATAGTTAGTGTTGCACGAAAAACGCCTATAGAGTTTTTTGCAAAAAAGAACTTTTTTTAAAAAAAAAGAAAAACCCTTAAGAGAGTTTAGAAAGTTTTTTGAGTATATTTTCGTTAGTTTTAGGTCTACAAGCCTGAAATTTAGCTTGTTATGACAGAAATTGTGTGTCTTTAAGTTTTTCTAAGCTTGAAAAATATGTTTAGATAGCCATTTTAGAGTTATTAAGAAATATGTAAGAAAATAGGCCAGGTGGCCGTTTCTCTGTAAGTTTGGAATCTTTAAATTTGATATTTAGTATTATATATATTTTTTTGCAGAAATAAGTTTATTTAAGAGCAAAACTAAGATTAACTTAGTAAAAAATAAAGTTATAAAGTGTTTTAAAATAATTAAGTTAGGAGAAGTTTGTATACAAGTGATAGATGGGGAGAGTTCTGTCTTATTGTACTTCTCAATTTACAAAGTTTAACATTGTTTTAATTTTTATTTAACTCCCCTTTCATCCTTTTCGGCACTCCAACTCTGATAATTGCCTATTAGAAATTATTCTGAGTATGTGCCTTTAATCTTAATGGTTTTAAGCCTTGAATGTGACCTGCCATATTTCATTTTTGACTGAAACAGAGAAGATTTTTGTGGAAAAATTTTATGATATGTATTAAGCTATCTAAACTGTATATTCTGAATAATTTGATCTATGCCCCCAATTAGTTTTTATTATATTCTGGTTATATTTATACTTTTTTTTGAAAAAAAATATATAAAAGTATACAGTATACATGTATCATTATGTGAAAAATATATATATATATATATTTAAAATATGAAATTATTATTACTTTAACTAAATTAAAAAAATTTGACCAGATTTAAATTGAGTATAAAAAGCTTTAGTAAGTTTTGATAAGTCTACTATTATGATAGAATAAATTGATGATAGTCTCTGGATTTTTAATCATATTAATATATACTACATAACTTTTTTAATTCATTTAAAGTTATTAAATTATATATATATTAATAATACAATTTATGCAGTATGAATATGTGCATTGAATTACAATCTCTTGACTGGATAAATTAATTGCTAATCAAAGAATATTATCACATATAGCCTTCTTAAGATCGATCTTAATTAATATTACCTAACTGATTATACTTGTTTTTATTCATATATTATTTATGCATAAAAACTTTCTTAGTACTTGCTTTTTTAATGCTTATTATAATCATTGTAATATATTAGGTTTTTTCATATTATCAGTATAAAATAATTTATTTTTGTTATAAAAAAATAAATCTTTATAATAAAGCAGAGCTGGGAGATAAGTAAATCGCAGATGCCAAATAACTATTTTTTATAATAGCAGTGCTGAATAATCTATAATGTTGGTATGATGTTTTGGGAATCAGATTTTACCTAATAGGTTTTTGCTTATTTTTATTTTTTCAATTATATTCTATATACATGTTTGCATTTACACATGCAGTAAATGATATAACAATTAGATCAAGTTATATATATATATACATATGTAATAAAAATTATTTCTGTATTTCAAGTATTTTATTGAAAAGCAACTATTAATTCACTGTCTCTGCACTCAAATTTATGCACCTTTTTAAAACCTTTACTACTGATTAAAACAAGGTTAGTGAATTTATTATATGCTTATCAAAAATAGCTTTTCAAGCTATTTATTTGGTATGTTTGCCATAGTTTTTTGTATATGCTAATATTTGCTAAAAATCAACGTTCATGTATATATGTTTTAAATGTCTTAAAGTTGATGCAGGCATCAATAAAAGAACCATTAAAGATTTTATAATGAAGTATTATTTGTTATATTAGAACTTAATAGCATCTTACTAAATATAGAATACTAAATTTATTATATAATTATCTTAAACTATTATGAATTATTCTTGCCATCCAAACATTATTTTGTTTTATGAAGTGATGAAAGGTAAACAAGCATTTTATAATTTTTGAAGTTGTTATATAATAAGATGCTTAACAAGAAATCATGTCTAATATACAAATAGCAACAGATATTATAATATAGTTTTAGAATATGCTAATAACAGAACTTTACAAGAATACCCAATGGCGAATTTACCAAAATTACATTGAATAGATAAACTACGCATTGCTAAGAAAATAGCACTCAGACTTTTATTTTTATATGATATTAATATTATTCATTGAGATCTGGTAAATACTATATTATATTTAATTTTTGTAATAGATTTTATATTTATCAGCTATCTGTTATTAATTTAATAATATGAACTTTAATTATTAAATTTTAATAATTTATTTTAATAATTTATTTATTTATTTTTTTATTATATAATGTCATAGTAGAAACTTTATTACAGTCAGTCCTAAGATTGAAAGTTATCTTATAGTCTACAAATCCAGGTAAGGGACAAATAAACTACTTATTTATAACCAGGCTGCCAAAACCCTTCAACTTGAACTAGTAAATTTTAAGAAAGTTGATTAGAAAATAAATTTC